CCCATGATTTCCTCAAAGACAAGGAAGCAGTTTCAAATTCACAGAGATCCTGTCTCGCTAATAAAATTTCTGGTAACTGAACGAGTCCACTCGCAACTCCGTTTCTTTTTTTCTTTTTTGCAGTCCCGCCGCAGCAGTAACCCCAGGGCCAGAAACTGGAGGAAAGGGAGCGTCGCACAGCAGGAATAGATTTTTTATGCCTGTAACACATGGGCAGATATCGCTGACCTAAGTAACCCAACTACTCGAGCCCTGGCCAGTGAGGCCGCAAATCTCCGATCGCTCCATGCCCAGCAGGAGCCCTCTCAGTCTGGCCCCAACCGACGCCCTGCGCCCCCAGGGTTCAAACAAGCTTCCCGCAGCTCTGACTGACCCCAAGCGGCCTTCGTAGGAGAGCAAGCGGCCCTGGTAAGTAAACTTCCATCACCCGCCGGGTCACTTCGCTGTGTTCCTGTACGCGATCCAGCCAGGCGACAAGGATACTACCCACCGAGAGACCACTCGGAAGGACAAGCCTCCTCACCAGGGGGCGATGGGGCCTGATGGAGACCGCAGAGATACAGATGACGAACGATTAAAACTCACCGAATAGGAGATGGCTGCCACCTCCGTAGGCAGCGCCGAGAAAGAGAGGGGAAGGTAGCGCGAGAGGCCTGCTGGGACTTGACCTCTGGGTCCTGGCAGGGAAAAGGCGAGCACTTCCGGCTCTTGGGCATTCAAAAACAAAAAAACGTCAGAGAAATAATACTGGAAAAAGCCGAGGGTTACCTATGTTTTACTAGACGTTGATATCTAGGAGTAGTACTGGATTTTTTCATACCTGTTGTTGGGACTACGTAGAATATTTTGAGTTCTTTCTGAGCTTCTAAGACCTGGTCGGGGCGGGGGTGGGGAACCCACTTCCGCCAGAAGTTGAAGCCGCTCTTCCGCCTCCAGCTTTTAGATTATTTTCTCCCTCGTTTCTCCCTCGCTGCAAAGCGCGCCTCTTGGTGGCCAGGAGGAAACAAAACAGATTTCCTAATACTCACGTGAGTTATTGCAGAGTAAATAGCAATGTGCCTATGTATAATAGCTATCATTCAATGGGATTTACTATCCTTCCCACAATTCTATGAAGTAGGTATATTATTTTCCCCATATTACATATGTAGAAAGTGAAATTTGGAGGTTCGGCTACCCTCTCCACACACACACACACACACACTTCTAACCATTAGACAAAACTGCCAAGTAATTAATTGTTGTTCTTAGCTTTTGGTTTTAAGATTCGTGCGAAAATAAAATTTCAGAAGGGGAAAAAAATGCCCCTCGATTCCACAATACTGATGTCATTAGTGATCTTGATAGGAGTAATTCCTGGAGACAGAAGATAAACTGCATGTGTTCTCAACTGAATGAGAAGTGAGAAGGGAGGAGAGCTAGTGTTGACAACTCCCCATGAGATTTTGACTGTGAAGGGAAGGGGAGTTCGAGGAGACCCAGAGAAGCGAAACGTGAAATGTGAAGTCAAGTGTCTTGTTCCAGGTCACACAGCTGGCAAACAGTCGAGTTGAAACTAAAACCCCATTGTGTTTGTGACTGCACCACACTTCATGAATCCTGCTTACCCTGTGGTCTGTAGGAAAACATATGTGATCGGGAGCATGGAAACACTGTGTTAATAGCTGCCCATATGATGCCTGTCATGAAGGAAAAGGTCTTGACAGGATCAGGTGGGTTAATCAGATAAAGAACTAATGAAGCAGAGAACATACTTCCAATTGCAAAAGACCCAAGAGATTTGGAAGTAGTAATCCAATGGCTCAGTTTGGAGGGCATGAGAGACACGGTGTTTCTCAGAGGAGGGCACAGAGCTCCTTACACTGCCTGCTGCTTCCCCATGGGCACTGAGATCCCAGGATGAGAGGCTGGGGGTGCCAGGCAGGCGTCTGTCAACATCCCAGGGAATGTGCCTGCTGTATTGCCCCAGGCTCAGGGCCCTAACTTTTCCAAACACTCCTCTAGCTACAGCTTCTGAGCAAGAAATCACATCAGCTAGATCACAGGTGACATGAGAAAAACTCCAACGTGGTTTATTTCAAAAGGGCAGGGAAACACTCAAAAACTGCACATCTTTCCCTGGACACAGCTGCCTCTGAGACCCTGGACACTTTGCTATAGAGACAGCTAGCCTCAGGCCACCCCACTGAAATTATTTCTTCTGTCTGGCTCTTTGACACTCCTGGTGTCTACAGCTATGGGCTGCTAGCTGCGCTGGTCCCCAGCCCCAGGATGGCTGAGTCTGATATAATCTGGGCCACTCCAATTGACATAGTAGAACTTGGGGGCATCGTAATTGGCACAGGTCATGTAGTTCCAGTTCCTAATGGGCTACCAGTGGTTGCAGTGGTAGGTGGCTGAGTAAGCATGGGGCTTCTGTTGGACACAACTGAATAGTGCCAGACTCCGGTCCATAGTCACAGTAGGCAGGTAGAGCTGCAGCTTGTCCAGGAGGTGTCCCGGCCAGAAGAAATTGGGGTGGGTTCGCTGTGGACCACGGGGCCTCTTCACCTTCAGCTTCCTGGGAAATGAGAAGACACAGGGAAGGTTTTCATGATGGACAGGCTGGGGCTGGGGCTCCTCAGCAGAGCAAACCAACTGTGACCCTAGAGGAGGTGTAGCATTGCACTAAATGTTTCAATACCTCAGTGTTCACCACAGTTCCATGTGGTAGGTTCTGTTACTCTGTCTACCTTACCAGTGAGGATCTGGAGGCCTAGAGAGGATAAGTCATTTCCCCAAGGCTACACAATGACCAAGCGGTAGAGCACAGGCTTAACTTCCAATCTGCAGCCTCTAAAACCCAAACTCTTAAGGGTATGCTATCTATTCTCTAGAAACATTTTAATATGGTGTTCAAGTACAGCCTCTGGAGCCACCATAGATGGATTGAATCCCTGCTCCACTACTTTAACAGATGTGTGACTTTAAGAAGAAATTAACTTTTCTGTACTCAGTTTCCTCTTCTGTAAATTGGGTATGTTAAAAGTAACTTTATTGGGTTGTTGAGAGGATTTAAATGAGTTAACACATGGAAAGCACCCAGAGCAGAGTCTGCCTGGCCCTCTAAGTTGTGTTTCTGCCTCTCAGCTCTTGAGCACTGAGCCCCAGATGCTGTGCTAAGAGCACCACAGAACATGCAGAGTCCCAGGCACCTCCACAAAGTGAGGCTAGATCTCCTCCCCCCC